TCGGAATAATATTCGTGCTCAGCTTGGTTTCGTTCCCAGCTCTGTCTGCAAAACACATGGCCACATCGCATCGTCTGTCTGTTACCGTTTTGGCTCAAGTCACGTTTTAGCCCTCACGGGCCTCTATGCCTCCTGGGTCACTGCAGTGGAGGCTGTGATTTGTACCCACCACACTTGTAATACCCCCGCAGGCCCCAGTCGAGCTCAGGGCCATGCATTCCGCGTCGGTGAGGTTTACCAGGCTGAGCACTCCAGGACCCAGCCTTCCCAGGACATGCTAGCCAACTGGTGGACTCGCCTCGCCACGGTGGTCGCAGCGATCAGACGCCACCGAAGCCGGAGAACTGGTTGCAAGCAGATTCAAGTTCTCTCAGTGCCAATGGCAAAGCTCCTCGGCGACATCCCAGAGAAAGCAGGGCAAGCACTGCGACCTCAGGAGCCAGGTTTCCCCACGCTTATTCGTTCTTTGAGAATTCTGCAGGATTATTCTGACAATGATTTATCCGATATTGAATGTTTGAGTATCAAGTTGAGCATGAGAGCCCAAGGAAGGGCCATCAAAGCGTCCCTCAACCGCTTCAAGGAATGGGCCGACAGCCCAGAGGCGCTGGGAGCACTGCGTCGCAATATTCGGGACGAGCCCTTGGTTCAGCAAGAACTCATCGTCCAGAATGCTGTGCTCCACAACCCCTCGGACATCATGGACCACAAAAAGAAGCATTGGGAGGCGACCTGGTGCCCACACATCAACGATTATGATCGCTTAGGTCGGGCGTTCGCTGAAGTACGATCTGCTGCTGGGGACGAGCGCTTGGCAGATCTCACACACGAGCGTGTGAGAGCAGCTGCCAAGCGCATGCGGCCCAAGCTGGGCCAAGGAGTTGATCGGCTTTCCCCTTGTAATTTCAAAAGGCTCCCTGGCCCAGCCTTATCCGAGCTCATTTCAATATTCGAGTCCATGGAATCACTTCTAGCATGGCCAGTTCAGACCCAGCTCGTCATCGGTCATGATGCCAAAGCACAAGGGTTCAGGAGAACGGGTCATTGGCATACTCACCATGTTCGCTCGTGTATGGTCCATGTGTCGTGAACCCGAGGTGGCCGAGTGGGCGGATCTCAATGCACCTTCCTGGGACGCGGCAGTGGTTGGAAATGCAGCTCTCAGGGAGGCGTTCCTGAGAGTATTGGATTAAGAGTTGGCGCATCATCTATCTCTATCCATTGGCAACGGCCTTCTAGACATCAAGGGCTTCTACGACGCGGTGTCGTGGGACCTGCTCACCGAGGGCGCCTTGAAGGTCGGTTTCTCCCCCACAATATTGGCATTGGAGATTGAACAGTGCGCAGCCCCACGCACCCTGCGACAGGCTGGAGCGTACTCAGCTCCGATGTGCCCCACGCAGAGTATTGTTCAGGGATTAAGATCAGGCGCGCGTTTCGCTCGGATGATGGTTTTCCTCGTGCTGCGTGCCATTGCTACCATGCATCCTCATTTCTCGCATCGCATCTGGATCGACACCTAGCCCAGAGCATAAAGAGTTCGAGGAACAAATCAGACAGCAACTTGCCACTGCTATCATTGACACATACAAAGGACTGCGCAAGCAAAGGTTGCAGGTGGCAGTCAAGTCAGCTGTTCTGTGCACGCACATGTCAGATGCGAAGTACGTCGCAAAGGCAGTCAAGCGAGCAGGCTTCACAATCGAGGCGCAGGCCCAGGTATCTTACTTGGGCGTTGACCTTGGTGGCGGGCGTCGGCTGGCCAAAGCAGTGAGACGTAGGAGATTGGAGAAGTCAGCCCTAATGAGTGCTAAGATTGCTCGGCACGCGCAGGCTTCCAAAAAGTATAAGGTCACGGCCAGAGTTGAACGCCAAGGGTCTCTGTCAGCAGGGTCCTACGGACATCAGATCCACGGAGCTCTCGGCCATGCAGTCACAGCGTTTCGCCGCCGCCAAGGTCACGCTTGTGCTGCATCATCGTCTGGGAGGTGCCTCGCGACCCTCCTCGCGCTCCAGGGCGGGAAGGGCGACCTAGGCATCGCCATGGCCGTGGACTGCATCAGGTTGCGGTTTCGCACGCGGGGCCACGAGGGTGCACGTTGTCGCAGTGCAGTGCGTCTCGCGCGGCCGTCGGCGGCCAAGAAGTTTCAGAATTTAGACATCCAGCTTCGACCCCGTCATATCAGAGGCCCGATGGGGGCCGTCATATGCTACCTGCTGGAGACGGGCTGGCAACCCACCGCAGCGGAGTCTTGGCCCAGACCCCCAGCACGCGACGGCGAAGAGGTGACATGGAACTTTCCGCCCGAGATCTTCGTCGAAGGCAAGGGTGTGGATCTTGCTGCAGGTCTCGTACGTGAGTTTCGTGAGGATCGAGAACGGATGTATTGGTCTTCAGTTTCCAAGCATTATTGCGGTGCTGGTGCTGAAGAAGGAATCGACATGCGCTCGTATGTTCGCCTCCTCCGACAACTGCGAGACACCCCTCTCGGCCATGGGCTTGCTGAGGCTATGGCGGCGATATCAGCAGGAGCGATGTGGCCACGTTCGAGAAGGGTTGCAGCTACATCAGGATGGATTTCAGAAGTATGCCCCCGTTGTGAGAAGGAGGTGGGGACCGCCGCCCATAGGGTGTGGGGGTGTGAGTGCAATGTGGGGTCGCGAGCTTACGAGGTTACGCAGTCGCCCGCTTCGCACGCGCATGCCCAGTGGGAGTCGGCGGAGTGCTTCTGGCTTCGAGGATTGATCCCCAAGAGTAGGTTGTCAGTACCACCGCCGCCTTCAACATCAGACTGGAGGTGTTCAGGAGAGTGGAGTGGGCTTATCCCAGGTATTTCAGGCACAGGTCCGAGCTCAGCCCCACTGCATTTCCGTGGAGACGCCAGCGGAGGTAAGGAGTCATCGGATTCGCACCTTCGCAGAGTTGGAGTTGGCCTTGTTCTGGCCGCTGATCCCCAGTTTTCCCCAGATTTCGAAGCTCGTGCAACACTCGAAGGACCTCTTCCAGGACACCGTCAAGTGGTGGGAAGAGGTGAGCTCATGGCATTGTTGTTATCCTTACAACTCAGCTGTGGGTTCGTTGTGGTCGTCTCGGACCATTTCGGAGTCGTGAATGGTTGGCATCAGGACCTGTTCGCTAACCCGTCGGGGCCCGAGGCGGACATCTGGGCCCAGATCGGTAAGGAGGTTCAAAAACGTGACAGGTCCCAGATAGTTGTGCTGTTTGTAAGTTCGCACCTTGATGCAGATTGTGGTCGCTTCCCGCCCTGGCTCGTATTAGGTAACCAAGCTGCTGACGCAGCCGCAGATGTTGCCGCAACCCGAGCCCGAGTGGATGAGGAGTCCCGCTATCGTGTGAATTCTACTGAGCAGAAAGCGTTCTTAATTCGGCACAGGCTCCTGAGGGCTCATTTAGATGCGATAGCTAAGGAGAGAGAGCTCGGCCTTTTGGGCCGAACGTGTGAGCGTAGTTCCTTCCTCAAGCCTCCAGGGCCCCTCCAATGTTCCGCGTTTAACTCCACCCACTCCCTGTCCGCCGATGGGAAGAGTTGCGCGGTTTGTCGAGGTTCCGCTACACAGGCAACTCTGACTGAGTGGCGAAATAGCCTCTGTTTCATTTTAAAAGCGTTTGGGGGCACGTTCTTTTCTCTCCCCAGGGGTGCTCGTCTTCACGTAGCTGGGGGGGTGGTTGCATGAAAGCCATAGTATGCAATCCCATTCGGGGCTCAACGTTTGGGTTTGCGTCTCTTGCGGGTGTTTCTGTCAGTTGATGCTCAGCGATGACCTCAAGAAGGCTTGCGCGCAGCACATCAGCCCCACCCGTCAGGGGCGCCTTAATTTAATTGTTCAGAATAAGCGGCCTGAAGTTCTTAGCACAGCGGAGAAGGCTAAGAGGGGAAGGGGGTATTGAGTCGGTTGGTCTGGACGGAGCGACGGCGCGCCCGCGCGCGCGCCCGTTCCACAAGTTCAAGGACCGCCGCCCGCCCACCCCGCCCTCCTCCTGCTGCTGTCTGCTGTAGCCGCCGCTTCCATCATCCTTCGACTCGCTTAGCGATTGCCTCATCTCATCTCATCTCATCTCCTCCTCCCCTCACCACTCCCAGGCCTCCGACGACCTGGTTTGTTCGATCACGTGTTTTGTTCCTCCAGTCTGGTTCCTTGGGGCCGTCTCCGAGGCCATAAGGGGTCCAGAGTTATTGGGCCCGCGGATGAAGCATCACAGTGTTTGCGTGGGCGTTTCGTTCTGCGCAGGGCCCGTGTCGATCCGATCGATCCAGCTCGATTTCGGCTTCAGCTGGCCCGATGGGAATCCGAGGATCCGGTGCGGCCTAGTGTTTGCATGGCGTGGCTGCGCCCCTTGGCGCAACCGATCCGATCCGATTTCGTATCCGCGCCGAGGCGGCCCGAGCCTGGGCATGTGTCGATTCGATCCGATGCCCCGGTTCGATATTGAGTCATCTTGCGACATACCTCTGGGTGCCCACATTCGGAAGCCAATGTCGCGAGAGGTCGGAATATGGGATCATCTTGTTTCTTATTTTTCTTCTTTTTCTTCTCATGTTCGTCCCTTCTCCTCCGCCTCCTCTTCCTCTTCCTCCTCCTCTCATGATCATCATCATCACCATAATCAAGTCATCGTGAGCAGCATCAGCAGCATCATCATCATCACCAGCATTCTCATCATCATCATCATCATCATCATCATCATCATCATCATCATCAGCAGCAGCAGCATCATCATCATGATCGTCATCCCCCATGTTTTCCCGCAGCATCCTTTTACTATTCGTCTACCATCATTCCATCTTTGCCCCCTCTCCCTGTCCTCCTTGTTTCCCTTTGTCGTTGATCCTCTCATAATCCCCCCTGCTCTTCCATCCGCCTCGTCCTCCTCCTCCTCCTCCTTCCTCCCCTCCTCCCTTTCCTGCTCCTCATCCCCCCCCCCCACCCGACGACATCGAGGGCCTCGCGCACGCCCGGCCCCGCCCCTTTTCGCGGAGGCTGTGAGCGCGAAGCACGGGGACGTGAAGTACTGGCGCATCAAGAATTCGTGGGGGAGCAATTGGGGCGAGGACGACGCCGTGCCAACAAAGGGTGGGGCGGAGGGAAGAAGAGGCGGAGGACGAGTGCCGGAGCGAAGGGGTCGGGGCGGAGGGGGCGCGATTGCTGGTGAGTGGAACAATGCAGAGGGCGGTCGGGATGGGGGTCCCCCTGGTACCGTGCCGAAATAATGGGCGGAGGGGTGGAGGCGGCGCGCTGGCTGGCAGGTGGGGCAATGCGGAGGGGGCGTGCGGGATAATGGTGGTGGTGGTGGTGGTGGGGGGGGGGGGGGGCGTGCCGAAATAAAGAGGTCGGGGCGGAGGGCGGAAGTGCCGCGCGGGATGGGAGGGGGCGGTGCCTTGCCGAAATAAGCTGGTCGGGGTTCCTTAGACACCCTGCGCAATAGAATCAATACTCTCCTCCTCCTCCTTCTCCTCCTCCCCTTCCTCCCTCCTCCCTCCTCCTCCTCCTCCTCCTCCTCCTCTTTCCCTCCCTCCTCCTCCTCCTCCTCCTCCTCCTCCTCCTCCTCCTCCTCCTCCTCCTCCTCCTCCTCCTCCCTCCTCCTCCTCCTCCTCCTCCTCCTCCCCCTCCTCCTCCTCCTCCTCCTCCTCCTCCTCCTCCTCGTCCTCCTCCTCCTCCTCCTCCTCCTCCTCCTCCTCCTCCCCGTTCGCCCCTCCGTAGCAATTTTGGTTCAAGCCGATCTTCAGCGAGCGACAGCCCCACTGTTCAGGCTCGGTCGGCCCCTTGTCCCTCCGGCTTGCACCTGGCGTTTCGCTCGTCGTGCTTGAGGATGTCACTGCGGGAACCACTCGGGGGAGCAGCGGTGGCCCGCCGTGCCGCCGACAGCCGCGCGAGGGAGCTGAAGGCTGAGACTGCGGAGTGGCGCCGCGAGCTGGAGGCCCTGCGCTCGCCCCCGACGAGACCCGCGACGGCGAGGCGGCGAGACGCGAGGGCACTGCGCGGCCCGCGCTCCGTGCGCGGGTGCGCGGCGTGAGGCGGTCCAGCGGGCGGAGGCTCAGTCGCAGCTGCGCGTGGCACGCCGAGCGCTGCGCACGCGCCGGCGCCCCGCGGCAGGCGTGGGCGCAGGCCCAGAAAGGGGCCACGCCTGGGCGCCGCGGGTGTGCAGGCGGCGTCACCGGGCCGCGAGGTCGATGAGGGCAGCCTCGACGTCGAGAGCCCGGTGGCGATCGGGGGCGGCTGCGGCGAGCTGGAGATGCTGGACTGCACACCTGTTGTACGGGGCATTTTCCTCGGTGGCGACCAGGGTCAGCAGCATCTCACTGCTGCTGGCAGCGCCGTGTGGCTCGCATCTGACTTTGAGGCGTCCTTGGAGCAGGGGTTGCTGGACACGCACCTCGTCCTTCGCCTCACTGGCATCGTCTGCTCGTGCGGTGCGGTTGTGTTTTCTGGCTGCCGCAGCCCGCCTTGCGGGGCCCCGCGCGGCACGGGAACGCCGAGGAGCGCCGCGGCGCAGGTGGACGTCGCGTTGGACGTCGAGGCGCTGGCAGGGCAGTTTCCAACCGACGGGGTGCCCCCCCCGCGGTTGAAGGTTTTGAGGGTAGCATGTGGTTCTCGTTCGCGGCGGCTGCCGAACCAAAGGGTCAGCAGTTCGACGTCGAGGCCGATCTCGTGTCGCCGCAGTCCGCCGCCGAGGTTTTCGACGAGTGCGACGAGCTGGGGGTTTCTGGCGCTGCGGAGCTGTTCGGCCTCGGCAGCGGCTTGTACTTCGGTGCCTCCCCGCCTCCTTCGGTCGCGAGTGGGAGGTACGGCGTGAACGACAGCCTCAAGGAGGCTGCAGGTGCTGCGCTGGCCGGGCTTCTGGAGGTCGAGCCCTTCAAGCCGCCTGCCAGCATCTTCGGGTCCGATGTGGGGCCATCCTCGAGCAGTTGTTCGGCGGCGGCGTCGGTGTCAGTTGGCCGAGCGGATTGCAAACAGCAGTAGCCTTGCTGCTGTGCTCGCGGCGGCCTGACTGACCCACCAGATGTGCTCCCCCTCCCGCCGTCTGCGGCCCCATGTTCTTCGTCGTCGGGTACGGCATGGGACAGGGAGGTGCACTTGAGCAGCGCAGCGGTAAAAATCCTCCCCATTCTCCTGCCCTCTGCTTCTCCACTCCTTGTCCTCATGAATAACGCCTCCCTGTCGCACCCCGAGGCCAGTCGGAAGGGCGGGCCAGGCGTTCGCCTGAGACTTCCTTACCATTTCTGAGCCTCAAGGTTACAACGGGGACGACCGTTTCACAGATGGAGGGCGGGTCGGTTCCAAAGTGTGGTTTTCGTCTCTGCGCCGCGCACATTCGTTGCACAAGCGAAAGAGCTTCCAAGATTGAGGACAGGTCGTTTTTAAAATGTGGCTCTCGCCTCAGCGCCGCGCGCGTCTGTTCTGAACCACTGCAAGAGCTTACGTCACGAACTGGAGACGGGAATTTGGCTCTCGCCTTAGCGCCGCGCGCATTCGTTTCACAAATTAGCATTATTGTCATTCGTTTCCATGGCTCACGCACCAGAAGCAGCGCGCTGGAACAATTCAGGACTGTCCGGGCGCAACAAGTTCGTTGATTCGCTGTGTCGAAGTCCCCCCAAAAGGTCTTCTGGCACGATTTAAGGTCGTCAAGACGCAACAATCAGGTTGAATCGTGGCGTCGAGGTCCTAAGTGGTGCTTCGGCGCGCGTCAGGATTTTCACACGGTTGTCCCCCAACGGGGCATTATTTTCATTGCGCATGAATATTTGTAGGGACATTATGAGGAAGGAGTTTGGAGGGAGGATGTATTCTGTATTCCAACATCGTTGGTGAGTGTTGGGTTTACACTGGTCTTCCTTTTCCCTTCCTCCCCTCCTGGCAGGTTGGGCCCTCTTGGACTCCTGAGGGCGGGCCGGGGCAACACAGGGCACGAGTGCCGTCGCAGGAAGTTGCTTCTTGCCAAGGGGCTGGGATTAGCAGTGGATGTTGAGGTGGGTCATTCCTGGCCTTATTGCTTAACCTAGCTTAGAAGGCGGGTGCACTGAGGGAAGCACAACCCACCCCCACCCCCAGCCAGGACCTCCACTCCCGACCTCATGATCCAGGGGGTGCTGGCTGGTGGTGAGCGTGGTTTTCTGGGCCCCAAGAATCCCACCTCCAGGCCCCGCCAGGACCACCTGGTTCACCAGGTCGGGAGTAGGCATCCTGGTTGGGGGTGGGGATGGGCTGTGCTGTCCTAATACACGTCCCTACGTGGCTCTGGGGAGTTAGGTAATTCCGCAACGTGGGTGGAGCCCACTAACCCAGATCTCCCACCCCGAAGCCATTCAGAGCACTTGCAGCCCACTCATAACCAGACCTATCCCACCCTATATAGGATCCACTTATGACCCTCCAGGCTCTCCGCCTCAAAATTGGGTCCGAGCAGATGGGGTCGGAGGATCGCGCCGCATTGCCAACACATCGGCGATGCAGGTCTCCCGCATGGAGCCCACGTTTCTCCACGTCGACGGCGCCGATGCATCGCGGACGTCGACGGTCCCCCGACCCCATCTAGTCCGACGCCATCTGTGCATCCGGGGGCCTCCACCTTACAGGGCCGTTTTTAATACACGCTCCGCGTGCGGATCATGTATTAAAAATGCAGGGATTTAGTATTAAAAGCAAGGATGAGGTTTACTCATAAATTAATCATGCATTAAACATCCAATATTTTGAAAATCCAATGTATTCACAACTGCCCTGTAGCATCCGTTTCTAACCACCACATCCCCTGCCAGGGCGCTTCCCTGCTACTGGGGCGCTTCCCTGAGGCGCCCGAGGGCACCTGCCAGGGCGCCTCCCTGCGGCGTCTGAGCCTGCCTTCCAGGGCGTGTCCCTCCCGGGCACGATCGCGTCGTACACAAATTCAGGGAGGAGATTTGTTCGCCGCTGTCGGCCCCTGGAGGCCCTCGCCGGGCCCCGGGAGCGTCAAGAAACGACGCAGGATGAAAAACCGGTCCCAGGGAAACCTGGCATCGCTTGGACGTGTGCATTTTTCCTTCGGCGAGGGCCATCGAGGAGCATCCTTGATCATTTGGCGAAAAACCACGCGCGAAATCGAAAAAAGCACAGGGAATGGGCGTCCGAGCGATGGCCAGGGAAAGGGTCGGGAGTTCAGGGGGCGCGCACTGAAAAAATCCTCGGATGTCTGGGTTGGGCAGCCCGCAGGTACATCAGGGTGCGCTTCCCTGGGGCGCCTGGAGGTACCTGTCAGCCACCCCGCGCTGTGGTTCAGGTCGACCCCCCCCTCCGCCCACCCCCAGCTCGCCCTGCGCGCCGCGCGCATCCCACTCGCCTCAGGACGGCATGCTCCGCCTGCAGCGCCTGGACGAGGAGGACAAGGAGTGCGGCTGGGACATGAAGCCCGAAGTGGACCCGCCGCCGAGAGGAGGAGGAGGAGGAGGAGGAGGAGGAGGAGGAGGTGCAGGAGGAGGCTAATTCATCAGGCGCACCAGCGGGCGGAGGAGGCGCAGATCCAAGAAATCTGCACGGAGCGCCGAAAGTTTGTGTTTATGCCTTTTTTGCTTCTTCTGCACCATCTGTTTGCACTATGCATTCTGGTCGTGAGAGCCGTCCGCTTTTTTTTGGTTGTTGCTGTTTGTTTTATCGTATGCCCTTCTGCCCTCTATGATGCGCTAACCGCTAGCCGCTAGTTCCAGCCCCCCCCTCTCAGGGTCGTTGCCGGTCCGATCGATCCGACTCGTTATCGATTGCGGCCAGCTCGGTGCGACTCGATTCCGATATTCCGACGGCCCGACGTTGTCCTATGTTTGCATTGTGTTGCTATACACTCTGGGGCGTCCGATCCGACTCGGTTTCGACCCCGTGCTCGCGCAGCCTGATCCGACGCACATCCTTCAGCCATGCGCAGAAGGGGTGTAGGGGCGAGGGGGGATGGCTTCTGAGAAGGAGACTGCTTCTTAGAAGGCGCGGGCCCTGTCTGTAGATGTAAGGTCAGCGCCTTCTAAGAAGCAGCGTCCTTCTAAAAAGCCCCCCCCTCCCTCATACCCCCCTGTGCGCGCCGCCAAAGATCTCCGACGATGTGTGTTTTTGTTCAATCCCATCGTGGTTCCTCGATTTCGGCTTCTGAGGTCCGTTGTCGAGCCCCAGGGCCTTTCACATGGATCCGGGAGGAAAGACTACCCCAGGGAAGCGGTCAGGACCTCTGGAGCCGCGCACTGACAGAATCACACCGTCGGGTTTCTGGCCCGATTGGGCTCAGATTTTCGGGCGGTCCGATGCGGCCCGATGATATGCATGGTGCAGTTCGGCATCCCGTCGCGGCCGATCCGACTCGGTTCCGACTCCGTGTTGGTGCGGCCCGATTCGACGCACGCAGCGTTCGGTGGTCCGGGCGGAGTTCTTGGATCTGGGCTGAGGGCCCCTCCCTGGCGCCTCCAGCTTCCGCCCCCGGCGAGAGGCCCAGCGCCGGTCCAAGAGGTCCGCGCGGACTTCCGCAAGTTCATCATAAGCTCCTCCTCCTCCTCCTCCTCCTCCTCCTCCTCCTCCTCCTCCTCCTACTCGTCCCCCTCCTCCTCCTCCTCCTCCTCCTCCTCAGGGTCATCTTCGTATACGGTAGGATCGTGTCATGTCGACCGGCGGCGACCCTGCCGCTGGCGTTCGTCGTTGAGCGCCGCCGGCGACCCAGTATCGGTCGATGTTGAACGATCTGATGTTTCGGAAACGGCCGATCGTTCCAGGCCGAACGATCCCCGCGGTGGCAACGCCAGGGTCGGCACGACACGAACCTGCCGTGACGCTGATTGATCCAGCATCCTCGCCCGTGCATTTCCCGCGCGCGCCATGCCGCTCCTGCCGCCCCTCACGCCCGGCGTGCCGAGCACCCACAGACGGAGCTTCGACGCCGTGATCTTCTCTTGCACGACGTGGACCCCCGGAGGTCTGGAGCCCGATCAGGCTAAGACAACCAAGCCAGGCGATCAAAGCACGCAGATGCAGGTTTTTCCCGCAATCAGAGCTTGCCTCTGTAGGGGTCCTAGCGGATTCATATGGTTAGGTTAGCTGTGGCGCCGATGTCGGCGGCACGCCCAGGTGCCCGGGTGCCTGGTAGCCCTGTAGCCTTATGGCGCTATAGCCTTGTAGCCGTATGGCCCTACAGCCCTAATTGCCTAATAGCCTTATAGCCCAAGAGCTTTATAGCCCTATAGCCTTATAGCCTTACCGCCTTATAGCCCTATGGCCCTATAGCCTTGTAGCCCTATAGCCCCAAAGCCTAATAGCTCTATAGCCCCATAGCCCCATAGCCCTATAGCCCTAAACATATTCGGATTGGGTTTTTTCTCCGGTATCATGTCAGTATTGTCGGGCTGACGTTTCGTCCTTTGCGGGGCTCTTCTGGGCCAAGATGATTATCTCGAACATGAAACGCCATAAACATAAACTTTGGCGCTCTGCGCGGATTTCTGGGATCTGCGCTGGAACGCCCTGGCGGCGGATAGGGAGGGGGTCCAGGGCAGCTCCAAGACCTCCGCGCGGAGCGCCAACCCTTGCGGGGCTCTTCTTGGCAAAGCTGATTATTCGAGTAGGGGATCGGCTACAGAACTGATTTACCTCAGAATTGATTTTCGCGTCGAACTTACGAAACTCATGCGTAGAATGCTCGTGGACAGATGGTTCATTCTACGTATGTTCGTAGATTCGGCGAACAAACTAATTTTTGGGCAAAGCAGTTCTGCAGCCGATCCCCTAACCTCGAATTATTGACGACGTGCGTGCAACATGAGGCATGGGAGCACCGCCCCAGCACGAGCACCAGCGTGGGCCCCCCAGAGGTGCGGGAGTGGACCCCCTGCCGAGAGTGGCCCTCCACGTCCTGAGCCGTCTTGCTGACGGCGCCTGGGCCCGGTAAGACTCCCCGAGGTGTCAAAGATTGTCCATCCTTCGGGCGGGGATCAGAGGTCCGCGCGGATTTCTTCGGTTCGGCGCAGGGGCCCCCTGGCGGCGCCTCCAGCGCCGATCCGAGGAAATACACGCGAACCTCCGAGCATTTATGCTTATGTCACTGCTTGTTCCCCAAGTCCTGTCCCTCCCGCAGAATATCGAGGACGAGGAGCAAGTACTAGTAGTAGTAGTAGTAGTAGTAGTAGTAGTACTAGTACTAGTACTAGTACTAGTACTAGTACTAGTACTAGTACTAGTACTAGTACTAGTACTACTAGTACTAGTACTAGTACTAGTACTAGTACTAGTACGAGTACGAGTACGAGTACGAGTACGAGTACGAGTACGAGTACGAGTACGAGTACGAGTACGAGTACGAGTACTATTACCACTACCACTACTGCTACTACGACTACTACTACTACTACTACTATTACTACTACTACTACTACTACTACTACTACTACTACTACTACTACTACTACTACTTCTACTACCACTACTACTACTACTACTACTACTCCTACTACTACTACTACTACTACTAACTACTACTATACAACTACAACTACAGCAGTAGCAGTAGTAGTAGTAAGTCAGTAGTAGCAGTAGTACTAGTAGTAGTAGTAGTAGAAGAAGTAGTAGTAGTAGTAGTAGTAGTCGTCGTCGTCGTCGTCGTCGTCGCGTCGTCGTCGTAGTAGTAGTAGTAGTAGTAGTAGTAGTAGTAGTAGTTAGTAGTAGTAGTAGTAGTAGTAGTAGTAGTAGTAGTAGTAGTAGTAGTAGTAATTGCAGTAGCAGTAGTGGAAGTGCTAGGAGGAGTAGTACTAGTACTAGTACTACTAGTTGTAATAGTAGTATTAGTAGTAGTAGTAGTAGAACTAGTAGTAGTCGTAGTCGTAGTAGTAGTTCTAGTGCTAGTACTAGTAGTAGTACTAGCACTAGTACTAGTACGAGTACTAGTAGTAGTAGTAGTAGTAGTAGTAGTAGTAGTAGTAGTAGTAGTAGTAGTAGTAGTAGTAGTAGTAGTAGTAGTAGTTGTAGTTGTAGTTGTAGTAGTAGGAGGAGTAGGAAGAGTAGGAGTAGGAGTAGGAGTAGGAGTCAAGCTAGCCAGCTCGAACGAGTCAAGCATGGCATGCCCAGTCCCACCCGCCCTCCCACAACATAAGAAGCAAAGCTGGCACAACTGGGGGCCGAAGTCACACCGGCCAGCCGGTTTGGTACAGCTGATGCGGCCGCGATGGCGGTTGCCGACGGGAACTGGCGAGCGCGTGTTGAATGCCGCGCACGCATTGCCAGACGAGTCGAGAATGGCCCGGTACACCGCAGGAAGCCAGAGGTGGCCGGAGGAAGCCCGACGGTCTGACAGGACACCCCAAAGGATTTTTGTGAAAAAGCATTGGGTTTTTGATGTTTTTATGTTGAGATGCTTGCAAACACACGGTATTCGGTAGGATTCTGACATGAACGCGCGAGTGTGCTCTTTGTGGTATTTTTTGCACAGGATTCGCGGCCTGGGTGCATGACAGAGCATCGCGAGTGCACCGCGCGATGACGCGAAATCGCTGGATTCGACCGAATTCTCCAGATTCCTATGGTTTTCCTATGATTTCAGCAAGAGAGCCCGGGCGGGAAATTTGTACAATTTTTGTGAAAAAAGCATTTGGTTTTTGATGTTTTTATGTTGAAATGCTTGCAAACACACGGTGTTCGGTAGGATTCTGACATGAACGCGCGCGTGTGCTCTTTGTGGTTTTTTTTGCAATGGATTATCGCCGTGGACGACAGGACGTCCATGTCGAGAGGAAAAAATAAGAAAAAAAATGATTTTGTATTGTTTTTTACAGGTTAGGATGGGACCACCTGGATGCGCCCGCTATCTGCCGGCCTGAGGGGGGAGTCGGGGTATATTCGAATAAGGAATAAGGATAGGAGTAGGAGTAGGAGTAGGAGTCAAGCTAGCCAGCTCGAGCGAGTCAAGCATGGCATGCCCAGTCCCACCCGCCCTCCCACAACATAAGAAGCAAAGCTGGCACAACTGGGGGCCGAAGTCACACCGGCCAGCCGGTTTGGTACAGCTGATGCGGCCGCGATGGCGGTTGCCGACGGGAACTGGCGAGCGCGTGTTGAATGCCGCGCACGCATTGCCAGACGAGTCGAGAATGGCCCGGTACACCGCAGGAAGCCAGAGGTGGCCGGAGGAAGCCCGACGGTCTGACAGGACACCTCAAAGCATTTTTGTGAAAAGGCATTAGGTTTTTAATGTTTTTATGTTGAAATGCTTTCAAACACACTGTGTTCGGTAGGATTCTGACATGAACGCGCGAGTGTGCTCTTTGTGGTATTTTTTGCACAGGATTCGCGGCCTGGGTGCATGACAGAGCATCGCGAGTGCACCGCGCGATGACGTGAAATCGCTGGATTTGACAGAATTCTTAAGATTCCTATGGTTTTCCTATGATTTCAGCAAG